AGGACCGTCCAGCCCTTGCTCTTGTTCTTCTCCTTTTTTTGACCTTTTCCAAAAAAAATAAAACACGTCCATTCCATTGTTGGTTTTCGAAATTGCGATACCAAGTCTTTTGTTTTATGTCATAAAATATTGAAATGTCAACTTGGGGGAGGCTTGCGGCTGTGTTTTTTACAATGTGATTTATGTTTAACTAAACTGGGTTTTATGACGTAGTTGTTTGTTAACTGGCGGTTTGTAAATTCGTCTTTGGTTTTTGATTGTGAGTAGAATATTAACCCTTGTGTCACTTACACATAAGACTCAATTGTGTTTTAAAGTCTCGACAATGTATGGGGGGAAATATTAATTTCTTTGTGGTAGAGAAAACGTGTTCAGTTTTTGTGCAAAATGTACTGAACATATGGCTTGTTTCATAATGTGGGGCCATGGTACTCCTGGCTTCTAATTGGACCGTTTTCATGCAATTGGACGACAGATGGCAACACTGGTGGTGGTACAGGCAGCTAATCCAACACTGGTGGTGGTGCAGGCAGCTAATCCAACACTGGTGGTGGTGCAGGCAGCTCCTCCATCACTGGTGGTGGTGCAGGCAGCTCCTCCAACACTGGTGGTGGTGCAGGCATCTCCTCCAACACTGGTGGTGGGTGCAGGCAGCTTCTCCAACACTGGTGGTGGGTGCAGGCAGCTTCTCCAACACTGGTGGTGGTCCAGGCAGCTCCTCCAACACTGGTGGTGGGTGCAGGCAGCTCCTCCAACACTGGTGGTGGGTGCAGGCAACTCCTCCAACACTGGTGGTGGGTGCAGGCAGCTCCTCGAACACTGGTGGTGGGTGCAGGCAGCTCCTCCAACACTGGTGGTGGGTGCAGGCAGCTCCTCCAACACTGGTGGTGGGTGCAGGCAACTCCTCCAACACTGGTGGTGGGTGCAGGCAACTCCTCCAACACTGGTGGTGGGTGCAGGCAGCTCCTCCAACACTAGTGGTGGGTGCAGGCAACTCCTCCAACACTGGTGGTGGGTGCAGGCAGCTCCAACACTGGTGGTGGGTGCAGGCAGCTCCTCCAACACTGGTGGTGGGTGCAGGTAGCTCCTCCAGCACTGGACTGTGATATCCTGTCTCAATATATTTGTACCGGAGCGCCGGATTGAGTTATTTAAATACATTGCGTATGATACAGTATTGTGTATATGATACAGTGCTGTGTATACGATACAGTATTGTGTATACGATACAGTATTGTGTATATGATACAGTATTGTGTATATGATACAGTGCTGAGTATACGATACAGTATTGTGTATATGATACAGTATTGTGTATACGATACAGTATTGTGTATACGATACAGTATTGTGTATACGATACAGTATTGTGTATATGATACAGTATTGTGTATATGATACAGTATTGTGTATACGATACAGTATTGTGTATACGATACAGTATTGTGTATACGATACAGTATTGTGTATATGATACAGTATTGTGTATACGATACAGTAGCTAATTACACTATAGTGCTATGTAAGGTAATCAGGTACTACAATGTTGATTTTAAATATTAAGTGAATTACGTATTGTGAGTTATTGTGAGTAGACATGATTGTGGCTGCGACACTGCCGCGATTGTCAACAATACTTTCGAAATCGGGATTAACATACAAAATTGTACGAGAATGAATCTGTAAGGATTGTGAACAAACTAAAGTTGGTAAGCAACCCAACCCGCAGCCCGTCCTCCAAACAAAGACCCAAAAGTGATTCCATCCACCCGCTAAACCCCCCAGCTGTTTATGCAACCCGTCTTCGACTCAAGTCCATTACATCCAGCGGTCAACCCCACAGACGCATTCATAAATTTTAACATGTTGTTCATTCAAAACGGGAATTTTCTCAAGTATAAATTAATATTTTAATATATTGGCATATTGTGTATATATAGGCATAGGATAGGTTAGGTGTTTAGGTTCTGTTGGCGATTATTTGTATTTGTAGTACGTGGGTGAAGCATTTACAGCGTTGTGGTTCGAACAAAATTCGTCAGTGAAGCACTTGTTCCGGAAGTGTTAGAACGAAATCAGTTGTGAGTCGTGTGTAAACCGTTTTCATTCATAAACAGGGGGTTTGGCGGGTGGATGGAATCACTTTTGGATCTTTGTTTGGAGGACGGGCTGGTTTATGAATAAAAAACGGTTTACACACGACTCTCAACTGATTTCGTTCGAACACTTCCGGAACAAGTGCTTCACTGACGAATTTTGTTCGAACCACAACGCTGTAAATGCTTCACCCACGTACTACAAATACAAATAATCGCCAACAGAACCTAAACACCTAACCTAACCTATGCCTATGTATGCACAATATGCTAATATATTAATTTATATATGAGAAAATTCCCGTTTTGAATGAACAACATGAAAAAAATTATGAATGCGTCTATTGGGGTCGACTGCTGGATGGAATGGACTTGAGTCGAGGACAGGTTGACGTAACAGAAACACCTCACCAAACCTAACATAGCCCGAACTATACATAAACCCACAATGTATAAGAATAAAAATAATAGATAAATTACAGCCCCGCTCCTGTGCCAGGTAAGCTCACTACGGGCTCACCATAGCCCGTGCTACTTGCCCCGCTCCTGTGCCAGGTAAACTCACTACGGGCTCACCATAGCCCGTGCTACTTGCCCCGCTCCTGTGCCAGGTAAGCTCACTACGGGCTCACCATAGCCCGTGCTACTTGCCCCGCTCCTGTGCCAGGTAAGCTCACTACGGGCTCACCATAGCCCGTGCTACTTGCCCCGCTCCTGTGCCAGGTAAGCTCACTACGGGCTCACCATAGCCCGTGCTACTTGCCCCGCTCCTGGGCCAGGTAAGCTCACTACGGGCTCACCATAGCCCGTGCTACTTGCCCCGCTCCTGGGCCAGGTAAGTCCACTACGGGCTCACCATAGCCCGTGCTACTTGGAACTTTTTTGTTCATAGTAGCTGAATCTTAAACAAAAATAACTTATTATAATATCATATTTACGTGTCAGGGGAAAAAAAATGTTGATTATACTGTATGGCAAATTCATCATATCAGTTGGTCGACTGTTGAATAAGTAAGAAAAAACTGCATTAAGTTAAATACTAAGTTAGTATAAGACTTAGAACTTGGGCTGAAGGATGGGGATGCTGGAGATAGAGATCTCACTCATCCCGACCCATCCTCACAGGCAAAAGAAGCTGAGTACAACCTTGATGCAAATGGTTGTGTAGGTGGGCGTGACGGGGATGAGTTTGTGATGAGTTATAACTGTTTCTGATGGTTGCAGGTGGTACCACAACAGTCAGGAGCTGCAGAACCAGACCTCCAGAACCCTCACACTCTACAAGATCTCTCGCAAGCTTCACGAAGACGCCATATCGTGCGAGGTGAGATGTGTTTGTGGCTTGGAGGTTGGGGAGGGATAGGGAGGAGGAGGAGGAGGGGAAGACGGCTTGAGACAGCTTTCCGGTACCTGTCAGAAACTTGCTGGAGGAACCACTCCAAACTCCTGTTGAAGTGCCTCTCTCCCTGTCCCCGCACTCTCCCGCCTTCCCTACCCACCATCCCTCCTCCTCCTCTTCCCCTTCCCCTCTCTTCCCCTTCCCCCTCTCTCCTCTTCCCCTTTCCCCTCATCCCAGCTCGTTTCCTCTTCCCCTCGGGCAGATGTTCTTGTCCGACTTTCTGTACACGCTTCCCTCCCCCTCTCTGTACTTCCGCCCCCTTTCCCTGTCAGTACATAACCCCCCCCATCTTCTCCCCCCCTTCCCCCCCCCCACCCCCCCCCTACGTACTTTCCTCACCCGTGACTGCCACAGCAACAAGCACTCTGTCTTTAATAAGGTTGCTAATGAAACGTTGATTATAGCTTTGTTTACAATAGCCATTTTTTGCAGGCAGACTCTGGCATCACTCCACCCCAGGTCACCCCAGGTCACCCCAGGTGGTGGTGGTGGTCCCAGACGATAGTGATCCACCTATTTATAAATATATAATTAATATACGGTGTATTATGACGTACAGGAGAGTTTGTTAACTATAAAATCTGGGCCTTGTACACAAGTTTCTTTCGTTCCTAGTTATTATTCTTTATTGCGTTCCTTTAGTGTGTGTGTGTGTGTGTGTGTGTGTGTGTGTGTGTGTGTGAGTGTGAGTGTGAGTGTGAGTGTGAGTGTGAGTGTGAGTGTGTGTGTGTGTGTGTGTGTGTGTGTGTGTGTGTGTGTGTGTGTGTGTGTGTGTGTGTGTACACACTATCCATGGCAGTACACACACACCCCGTCAGGAGGGCCCCCAACAGGCGTGTGATCACTGCCCCTTTGTCTCCCGCAGGTGTCGAACAAGGTGGGCACGTCGAAGAAGACCCAGACTGTACACGTACAGTACGGCCCCATGTTCCGGTCCTTGCCACGTGACGTGATGGCGGAGACGGGCAAGGAAGTTCTCCTCAAGTGTGACGTCGACGCCAACCCGCCCTCGACCATCGTCTGGCTCCAGGAGGGCTCTGACAAGGTACAGCCATCACCTAGTGTGGCTCCAGGAGAGGTTCTGACAGGTAGTGTGATTCCAGGAGAGGCTCTATTAGATAGTGCGGCTCCAGTATAGCGACCAACAGACTTATAATGCCCATCAATACAAACAAATTGAGCTCAAAAGGACCGAGCAACTACAGGAATCTGTACAATCTTCACCTAAATCTATCAGAGAGAGAGAGATCCACCACAGAGTTATTACAGACCAAGAGAATCACTCGAGACACAAACATGGAGCTTCCCGATATTATTCATGTTGTATATGTTAACTTGGGCCATCAGAAAGAACTAATAGAACCTGCAGATATGATCACTCGAGAGAGTGTGTGGAAATGTCTTACATAGAGCTACATATATATATGTGTCTCTCGATGCACAATTTTCCACCAAAATATGTACAAATTCACTAAACATACACATGACTAGGACCGGCCATTTTTTTAATATATTTGAGCGAGGGCGAGAATTGGGAATCTTGGAATCTGGGAATTGAAATTTGCGGAATTTCAGAATTGGAATCGGTAATAAGAGTAGGAATAAGGAGGGAGGCGGCCAGGAATGAGGGTAGGAATGAGGCAGGAATGAGAGAGGCTGCTACCCTGTGCTTCCATACCCCGAGGGCTGGCCGCCCGGACGCTCAGCGGTAATTACCATTTTATGAGGATGAGGACCAAGCACGTCGCATCTACATAGACATGTAGATGCGTCTACATAGACATGTAGATGCGTCTACATAGACATGTAGATGCGTCTACATTGACATGTAGATGCGTCTACATAGACATGTAGATGCGTCTACATAGACATGTAGATGCGTCTACATAGACATGTAGATGCGTCTACATAGACATGTAGATGCGTCTACATAGACATGTAGATGCGTCTACATAGACATATATATGCGTCTACATAGACACCTACATGTGCTAAGCTAGTCGTACATAAGAACATAAGAACAAATACAACTGCAGAAGGCCTATTGGCCCATACGAGGCAGCTCCTATTTATAACCACCCAATCCCACTCATATACTTGTCCAACCCGCACTTGAAACAATCGAGGGACCCCACCTCCACAATGTTACGCGGCAATTGGTTCCAATTGTGAGCTTGGTACTTGTGTGGTAATTGTGTGCTTGGTACTTGGTAATTGTGTGCTTGGTACTTGGTACTAATTGGTACTTGTGTGCTTCTCTGTACTTACGTATATTTAAGTAACTAGGGGGCTATGACCTTAGATATTCCCATCCCTAGGGGAGGGGCTAATGACCTCTGCCTCCCCCTAACTAGCAGGAGAGGTGACGGAACTCATTGCTCCTTCCCCACTGTTTACAATCTGAGATTTTGACGGTGTTGATGCTATAGATTGTCGTCTCCCGGACGCACAGGTCATCGGGTCTGGGCGCGAGCTGGTGGTGGTGGTCGGGGCGTCGACGGCCGGCGTGTACACCTGCGTGGCCAGCGTCAGGGGCTTCCCGGACCTGCAGGGGCGGCTGAGGGTGCTGGTGAAGGGTCCTCCGACCATCGTGAGCGCCGGGGAGCAGCAGGGGAGGATGGGCGACACTGTTACTCTCGAGTGCAGTACCGTCTCTATCCCCAGTCCTATCCGCATCACCTGGACCTATAATGGAAGGGAGATCGATTTCAGTGAGTATTTTGTTCTTGTTGTTCGTGTTTACATTGTGATTGTTGTGTATGTAGCGCATGACGGAGGGTGCATGCGTCACACTCCGACACCGTCACAGTCCGTCACCGTCACAGTCCGACACTGTCACACTCCGACACTGTCACACTCCGACACTGTCACACTCCGACACCGTCACAGTCCGACACTGTTACACTCCGACACTGTCACACTCCGACACTGTCACACTCCGACACTGTCACACTCCGACACTGTCACACTCCGACACTGTCACACTCCGACACTGTCACACTCCGACACTGTCACACTCCGACACCGTCACAGTCCGACACTGTTACACTCCGACACTGTCACACTCCGACACTGTCACACTCCGACACTGTCACACTCCGACACCGTCACAGTCCGACACTGTTACACTCCGACACTGTCACACTCCGACACTGTCACACTCCGACACTGTCACACTCCGACACTGTCACACTCCGACACCGTCACAGTCCGACACCGTCACAGTCCGACACTGTCACACAACAAACACTTGAACTAAACAAGATCACAGTCTCCTCACACAGTCATCAGAACATCAGCACACATTCGGGAGTCATCATTTTATAAGCGACCCGCGACCGATACAGCAATACACAAAATACAGTGTATTAATACACAAACTAGACCAAACTGGGCGCTGGGATATACAATAACTAGCACCTGGAAGGAGAAACACCAATATGTCCCTTAAGGGAGTAACCTCGTACTCAAGAGGTCCGCTTGAACCACTTCCAACTTAAGTCTCAGGCTGCGGAATGGACTCAGACTCCCGGAAATAATGGCATGAGAAAGCTGATGCTCGGTTTCAGACTTTTCCACCAGACTGAAGTGTCTCAGTCTCTTGTCGCTAGAAACGCAGGACAGGGAAGGGTGGGGATCGAGGTTTTCAAACGAGTTAGGAGGATAAAAACGTTTTATATAAGCAAGGGGCCTCGTAGCCTGGTGGATAGCGCGCAGGACTCGTAATTCTGTGGCGCGGGTTCGATTCCCGCACGAGGCAGAAACAAATGGGCAAAGTTTCTTTCACCCTGAATGCCCCTGTTACCTAGCAGTAAATAGGTACCTGGGTGTTAGTCAGCTGTCACGGGCTGCTTCCTGGGGGTGGAGGCCTGGTCAAGGACCGGGCCGCGGGGACACTAAAGCCCCGAAATCAACTCAAGATAACCTCAAGATAAGGGTTTGAAACTGAGCAAGTCAGTACGCGCATGAATGGGTATGAAATGGACAAATTTCGTCATGGAAGGGATATACGAGTGTAATAGATTCGAAATAGGGTTGTATACGGGGGAGAATGAGCTGCCAACCAACGTTTTCAAGACAGGCCAACAATTTTCAATTAATAAATTGGACAGGTATACCTGTCCAATTTATCTGTCCAGGTATTGGACAGTGACAAGGAGAGGAATTGTAAACTTAACCAGCTCAAAATCGGCCAACAAAGGTGCTGCGATGCTCCCTAATTCTTATCTTCTTCTGCTTGCGACCAATACAATACTTATTGATAGGATAGAATCCTTAAAACAAGAGGAGCCAGGACCGGGGGGGGGATTATGTGAGAATTAACAGAAGTCAGAGATATTAAACTAAATATTTTCAGTGTTATGAGTACGGGCACCGAGCGAGGCCTGAGGTATAGTTGAGGTTATGAGAGGCAGTGCCCAAGAACTTAATCTCGGTAAACATCGCTAGGTGAATACAGCCAGGTGAGTATACACACACACACACACACACACACACACACACACACACACACACACACACACACACACACACACACACACACACACACACCATGTCACACAGATGCAAAGGTGAGGCTGCCAGCATCAGCTGATGAGAAAACTTTGTCCTGGCACTATGTACTGGCGGCTCTGGCTCTACAGACACACACATACACCTCACCTCCCTTCCCACTTCCTTCTATTCCTCATCTTCCCATCTCGTTATCTCTCCCTTCCTCGCTTCTACCCATTCCCTCCTCTAGTCCAATCTTTCCTTCCTTCTCTCCCACGCTCTTCAACCTCTTTCCCTCTTCCTATCTCGATTTCCCTATTACCCACTTTTTCCTTGTTCCTCATTCTTTCTTTCCCCTCCCTCCCTTCCCTTCATTGCTTGCTTCTCGTCTTGCCTTCCTCATCACCATCCTATCTTCACCCTAACTTACAACCCAGCTACGAAAAAGTGAAAAATGTTCGAGCCGAAAATTTAACGAAATTCAAAGTTTTCCTTTTGGGAGAGCGAAGGCTATTTTGAGCAGCAAGTGTTTAAGTGTTGATGAAAGTTTAATGGGTATTGTTTTTATGGAGAGAGAGAGAGAGAGAGAGAGAGAGAGAGAGAGAGAGAGAGAGAGAGAGAGGAGAGAGAGAGAGAGAGAGAGAGAGAGAGAGAGAGAGAGGAGAGAGAGAGAGAGAGAGAGAGAGAGAGAGAGAGAGAGAGAGAGAGAGAGAGAGAGAGAGAGAGAGAGAGAGAGAGAGAGAGAGAGAGAGAGAGAGCTGACTCAGTATTAGGTTATAAAAACAACACAATTAACAGTAGAGGTAATGAATTAATTTTAGGGACAGTATTTTACCATATTTTCCACTGGTCTTCAAGTTGGTATAACCCTATCCAAGGAAGAAACCAGAATGGGAAGAGTTATCTTACTGAAGAGGAGATTATGTCAAGAAGAGAAACGACTGTACAAGATCTGATGGACTACATGGCCCAGAAGTGTCAGGAAGGAGGGCAGGAAACTATCAGGGGAGAAAAGCACCAAGCCATTACGACTATATAGCACTTAGAAGAGCAAGGACAAGGATTTAGCATGGGACGGGGGAAAGGAATGATGCCCAACCACTTGGACGGTCGGGGAAGTGCCAGGAAGCAACAGAAACGTTCACCTCGGGTCATAAGGAGTCAAATTAAAAGCAACAGAGGAATCCATATTTAAATCAGAGATGTAAGGAATAAAAGCAATTACGTCCTATGTATGGGTGTGCTGACGCAGCCCGTCCTCCTGAGGTTCCTCGTCGTCCAAAAAACGGTCAATTTAAAGTGTCCTCTCCTAACCTACCAGAACAACCTGTAATCTTAAAAATAACGTCGCTTTTGGCCATTTGTCCGTATGGCCGAAAGTGGACGTAATTTGAAAATAAAAAAAATGAAAATAATTTTTTTTTTGTTTGTTTTCAACAACAGTAAGTTAAGGGTCCTCTGGTAGGTTAGGAGGGCAGGAAATTCTCATAAAGTTTCAAAACGTTATGAAAAACGTTAATTGAAAGTTTCCTCTCCTAATCTTACCGAGTAGGCCGGACGACTCAAACAGAAAACGGGACAGTACGTCACTTTTGTGAGTCGATTTCATTTCAAATTACATTCACTTTTGGCCATAGCGCGCATACGAGCGAAAAGCGACGTTATTTTTAAGACGACGGGTTGAGCAGAGGACCTAAACCAGAAAACGGGACAGTACATCACTAACGCCAGCCGCTTCCATGTTCTAGTAGGACAATTTTTGCCCTTATGTAAGGCATACGAGCGAACAGCGACATTCTTTGTAAGAGGACAGGTTGCTGCTGCTGCTGCTGGCCAGCAGGGCTTTTATGATATCAAGAGATGGAGCATTGTCTGGGAAGGCCATTATTACCGTATAACCACGGGCCTGAATGCTGGTGCTTGTCTCAAGTGTCTGAGGGGAGCATAGGTCATGCTGCTCACGAATTGTGTCTGTAGTCAGGCTGCGAGCAGCCGCGTCCAACAGCCTGGTTGATCAGTCCAGCAACCAGGAGGCCTGGTCGACGACCGGGCCGCGGGGACACTAAGCCCCGGAAGCACCTCAAGGTAACCTCAAGGTAGGTCACCCCCCTTACCTGCAAAGATGTGCTTGATGGGTTGTGTGAGGGCTTTATTTGTCTGATTGATTGATTGATGAAGATTAAGCCACCCAAGAGGTGGCACGGGCATGAATAGCCCGTAAGTGGTAGCTATTTGTCTGTGCTTTTGTCGTAGTTATACCTGCATAGGTATTGTCATGTTTTTGCTTTTACGTTTGGCAGTGATGGTGCAACCATTCTTCCTAATAGAACGTCGCATTTTGACGTATACTCTCCCTAAGGCCAAAAAATCGTCGTACTGGACGATGGTAGTGGCTCGCGAAAATGACGTACTGTCCCGTTTTCTGTTTTGGGTCCTCTGGTAGGGTAGGATAAGGGCACTTTAGTACAACTGTTTCTTGACGTTGAGAAACCTTAGGAGGACGGACATGTTGGTGTGACGGACGGGGTAGGGGGAGGGATGCTACGGAACAGACAGTGACGGGACAGATGGTGGAGGGACAAGTGGAGGGGGGGGGATGGGGGGGCGTCATCCACAACATACCCTCACTGACCAGGAGCCAGATTCACGAAGCTGTTACGCAAGCACTTACGAACCTATCCATCTTTCCTCAATCTTTGGCGGCTTGGTTTACAATTCCTAAAACCGTTAATGATCTCCGAAGCACCAGGAGGCTGTTCATAACAATAACAACAGTTGATTAACAAGTTTTCACGCATGTAAACTGTTCAATCAATGTAACCAAAGATCAAAATAACCGTCAAAGATTGAAGAAAGATGTACAGGTTCGTAAGTACTTGCGTGAATCTGCTTCGTGAATCTGGCCGCTGCGGACCTTTCCTCACCTGAGCACCTGACCTGATCAATATTCCCTGCGTGCATAAAAGCCATCAGTACTGCTCTTTAGTATTATCCCGGAGCATTATTACCCATAATGCTCCGGCGGATGTTGACATTAAAAAAGCTACAAAAGATCAGTCATGGCGGGCAGAACGAGGCTTATAATAATATATTTATGAGGGCCAGAACCAGGTGTAATTAGCGTGTCTCGGCTCCTAACGACGCTTGTTCAAAGTAAATGACGAAGTGAATTTATATTCTCGGTGTTTGTTGCATCTGGATTAATGATGTTAATTACTGCCTTGAAAAGCCAGCCGCTGTTCATTGATGGAGAGAAATGCACGTAGGAAAAAAAGAAGGCAGCAGAAATATAACTTTGTATTTTGTATTATTCTTTAACAGAGTGAATATATATATATATATATATATATATATATATATATATATATATATATATATATATATATATATATATATATATATATATATATATATATATATATATATATATACATATATATATATATATGTATTAATATATATATATATATATATATGTATATATATTATATATATAATATATATATATGTATATATATATGTATATATATATATATATATATATATATATATATATATATTTTGCATATATATAGGTGAAGCATTTGAGGGGAAGCGTTGGGGGTGAAGCTCCTGGACCCCAGGCCAGAGTGTTTGTGGGTGATGTGTAAAGCAATGACATGATTGCAGTGGAAGCCTCTGGAACCCCCCCCCCCCTTACAGGATTCTGTTGCATCCCACTTGCATTACATTTGAACATATTGTGGTTAAGTGGTTTAAGTGTGCTTGGGAGTACCCCATGTTCAGGTTCGAATCTTCCCCACATGGTTCCTACTGATTTCCCTCATTGATCCTATTTACCACCACCTCTGCATGAGAAATTACTGGATACTAACACCATTAGAATTTGATAAGTGTCCCCCACCCGCTCTCTCCGCGCACGCAGCCCCTTGTTAATGAACCCACTCAACCTTGTCCTTCAGGTGACCCTCGCTACGACGTGGTCCAGGACGAGCAGGAGGAAGGCCTGAGGAACATCCTGGTGATCCACGACGCCGACTCTCAAGACTTTGGTGCCTACAACTGCTCGGTGGTGAATGAGTACGGAGTCGCCAGGAAGCAGATCAGACTCAACAAGGAGA